GAGCCGCCGCCGCCCCCCTCCGCCCAGGCCTGGGGCCGCACAAGATGGCGCTCCCGGGCGGCCCCCGGCCCCTGCCCGAGCGGGGGAGGCACTCGGGCCCCGGGCAGTGGCTGGAGCCGCCTCCCAGTGCCAGGTCACCTCTGCCCTGGTGCGGAGCTCCAGACCCTTCCTCTGGGCTCTCTTGCTGCAGCCGCAGCACGTTCCCTGGGCTCCGCCTCGCTTCCTGACGGGCCCGAGCGCCTGCTCCCAGCCGCTCCCCGCGCTGCGCTTGTACCGGGAACTTGCCAACCCATGAGCTCGGGACTAGCCACCGCGCTCGGCACCTCCCCGAGCTGGGTGAGAAACCCTGTTAGCACATGGAGAACCCACAGGAGTGCTGCTGAGCCACATGCTGGTACTCGCTGCCTTGCTGAGCGTTTTGGGGACATCCTGGTTATTGGTTACAGATTATCCCACAATCCCAAACAGCAAGGGTGAGAAACGGTGTGAACGGTCCCGATCCGCAGCAGCCAAAACCTCGAGCTTCCCTGCTGGTAGTTGTTATAACGCAGCGATTGATACAGGAACCCGCCCCGCATTGAACACGGGAGGGCAGCGTGAATATTGAATTTACCGTCCAATTATGTAACGAGGACTCGTGGTATTTCAGGGGGACCTACAGTGCTCCGAGTGCTCGACAGACAAAAACCGTCCTTGCCTCCGCAGCACTGATTATATTGCAATTAACTGTCATGCTGCTGTAAAAGAGAATAGTTGCATCTTTCTGACAGGTGAAGAGGTCTGACCCCTAGCGGGCATAGTTTGTGGAGGGGAAAGCCCATGTGATCTCAGTGCTGCCTTTAAGGGCTGGAGGCAGAATTTGTTTCAAAACCAAAAGCTTAGATTGCAGGACATGAGATGCAGCAGCTGGCTCACTGACCCCTGCAAACCAACTGCTCACTGACCCCTGCAAACCAACTGCTCACTGACCCCTGCAAACCAACTGCTCACTGACCCCTGCAAACCCTCCCTGCCTATTGCCTGCCCTTCTCCCTAGTTAGACACCACTCCCCTACTCGTGTTGGGGAGGGTCTAGTTTCTCACCTTGCTAGCCAGCCCCAGGGACAGAGTGCAGGTCTGATTACATTCCCCCCAGCCCGGGCTCTGATGATAGGAATACATTAATGTAAAAGCTAGTATAAAGAGAAGCTGCCAGTATCCTCTCATCCGACTGGGCAGAGAATGTAAGAAGTGAGACAGGGTTTGAATAGCCCTGATCCTAGCTGAGTGTTTACATAGCCGTATGGAAGTCCATGGGGGCACTGCGGGCAGGCTCTGCTTTACTGGTAAGACTGTCGGTTTTACTCTTTTTCTGAACCTTCCTTGGTAAGTTTATGGAACAGAAGCAGTTCCTGAACTTCCTGGTAACTGGATTACCTCTCTGAGGGGGAGGAACATGGCTGTGTACTAAGCAACCCCTTAAATGCTTCACTGACTGTGTGGCTGCCAGAGGTTGCTTGTTCCGTCAGTTTTAATCTTTTTCCTGGCCTGTGGTAGGGAGAAGAAGTGGGTGACAGTTGGAGACACTTCTCTCCGGATATTCAAGTGGGTGCCTGTAGCAGACAGTAAGGAGGTAAGTGCTGAGCCTATGTAAGGAGAGAGCTTAAAGGTTTCCACACTGGCTGGGGAAGAACATGCCTGAACAGTGTGTAGTTGGCAGGGGTTCCTTATGGCTATTATGAGCTAGTCTTCATCACTGTGCTTATGGCCTGGGTTGGTACATTGAAGTGATGAATGAATTGAACTGGCAAGTGCTACTGCCGGCGCTAGAGGAGAGGGAGAAGGCAGCTGTGTCCTTAGGGAGGGCAGCTTCCTCTGAAGCTTTGGCTCATGTCTCTCCCTTGTACCTGTTGACAGTAAACTCCTTTAACCTCAGGGGGTTTTTTTCTGTCTTTCTCCCTTCAAGAAAGAGAAATCCAAATCAAGTAGCAACGCGGCACGTGAATCCAATGGCTTCCCAGCTGACACCTCTGCCAACTCCTCCCTTCTCCTGGAGTTTCAGGGTGAGTGTGCTCAGCCTCATCCCATTA